ACGACCCCTCCTCCTCCTCCTCTCTCTCTCTCTCTCTCTCTCTCTCCGCTCTTCCGCTCTTTCCACCGTGAAAGCGTAATTTCAAGCTCAGACCTCTTCCCGATTCGAGACGCCCCGCGGAATCGTCATATCTAAAATCCGCACAGTTTAGTCGTCCTTGCGGAAACGGCGTTTTTTTTTTCTCCCCCGCGACGCGAAGATGAGAAGACGAGAAATTCGTCGCGACTCGATTCGAAGCGCCCGAGGCGTCAGGAAATTCGCGGACACCCTGTATGCGCGGATAACGGCTTTCGTTTGCGCACCTTGATTTTTTTTCTGCGCTCGGTGCCAAGTGGCACACCTATATTTACGCACGCACGTGCAAGCGCGAATCGATCCCTGGAATTTGTTGTTGTTTCCGTTGTTTTTAACTTGGAATCGTTTATTTTCATATGTAATTCGCATAATGTGTTATGTAATTTTCGCCGATCCCGCGTTTAATTAAGTCTGCGCGAAATTTGCGCGAATTTCTCTCTCATATCGCAAATTGTATAATGCTGCGAAACGGGGTCCGGTTCTAAAACAGTGAAATTAGGTAATGCTCCTCCGATCTGTTACACGGTCTAACATTACCAGGACGACTTTCGCAATGGGCTCATACGTTTAAGTTATTGCGCCGACTATGACTTCTATATATTTAACTACGGAAGTGGGACCCCTCAGCGCGGTATTATCGCTCATCGATCGCGCACGAATACCTATTAAATTACTTCGCCCGTTTCCGATTATCTACGTATTTTCGATCTTTCGCGCACGTTAAATATTCCGGACTGGCTGTCGTAACTCACATCGTACGAGGACAGCTCGAAATTCAACTCCGACCGTGTTTAACATTGGATCGATGCACTGTAATTACATTACAGCGGAGATGAGTACCATGTTGCATTAAAAAAAAAAAGAAATTAAAAATTCTCTCCCGGGAATGAATATCGATGCCTTAAATCTAAAACCTCGCAACTGAAAGGTCCAAATTTTACAGGAGACATTAAAAACTGTTTATTTATAACATATTCCGATAAGTTCAAGTCAAACTTTGAATTTAAAGTAATTTTTAATTGTTAATAAATAAGTTGTTGGAATTATCTCAAAAATATTATACTATTATATATAACAGAATAAGTAAAATAATAATAGAAAAAGTCAAGTTGATCGAAAAGGTCAAAAATACGAGGTTTTGGTTTTAAGGTATACAATATTCCTGGATATATTTTTGGAAAGAATTTTTGCAGCTGTCAATAGAGTGATTGATAATATTTGATTGTCAAAATGCTATTTATAAAGCTTCTATCGTTTTTTTCGAAGTCGAAAGCTATTTTCGAATAACGTGATGAAGATTAGTAAAAGAAATTGATTGGATTTGAATAGCCGAAGAAAATATTGGAAACAGAAATATTCCGGACAGATATAAATAGCTAAATTACTTTTATTGTATTGACTCACCAATAATCATAGAGTTAAATATAAATAAAGAAAAGTAAAGGACAGAGAATCATGACATAATATAAATCTTATATGTATCAAGTGCATATTTATCGTATAGAGATTTGTCTGTCATCATATTCGCTCTAATTTATTTACACACAGTTTCAATTTTTTCACAAGAATTTACTGATCGAGACCTGAATAAATTTGTTGCGACACTTGATATTTGTTTAGACCGCTAACAATGTCGACCGTCGCATTCTTATCGCGAAGGCCGAGAAACAGGAAAAACACGAATTGCGCAAAGGAAACACGAATTCACTTAGGAAATCGATCCCGATTTAATCGCGCGATGCACGTCACGGCTGGTTATCAATACGAACGTCACAAAGTCATCCAGTTCGCGTGTCCGCTCGCTGCACGACGATGAATCCGCGCAAATCGCCGGCATCCCGGATGGGTCGTCACGCATTCCATCGCGATCCGCAGTCACACCGTCGATTGTCCACGGTCAGTCGATATAATCGCGCACCAGAGAGCATTGAGCGCGCTCGAATTTTGCGTTACGCAGGCCGAGTCGAAGGATCGCGCGCGGAAACTTCACGCATCTAAACTCTCCGATCCGTAACAATGGAAAATGTCGCGTGGCGCATTGTTTGCGAGACGCGGACCGCTGAACGCTACAGTTGCACCAGTCGTGGACTCTCGCGGCCGCGAGAAAAATCCCAATATTATTTTATTTAACCCGTATAATTTTATAAGCAGAAAGCGCGAAGTGGAGGAACTAATTGTTGGTACAAGATGAATCATCGCTGATTTAACGAAGCGCCGCAACGGAACTGCAACGGGAATAACTTTGCGCGCGCGAGGAAATAAACTTCCGCGGACGTTATAGAAATTGTAAGAAAATAATTCGTCAGCTGTGTAGTTCCCAAAGTCCGCGGGTTTGCGTTTGTTCGCTGATTATTTTCGCAAACGCTCCGCTTTTTGAAACCCTTTACCATTCCGACGCGAAGTTATTCCCGCCGGTGAAGTTACCGCCACATCCCGTGGCACTTTATGCATAATAAGACCCTCATTTCAGTTTTATTGCTCATGAATCTCTCGATTGCGCAGTCTGGACCGTGACAATAGGCCGGCTCTAATAAATGTCACGTCACGTTGCAATATTATGCGTTTGCGTGTACAAGCGATAAATAAGAAAAAGGCGATCTTTAATTCAACGGAAACAACATACGCGTACAATGGATGCAAGGATATATTCTGAAACTTTTCGCGCATATCTTCCTTATTTTTCGCGCAAACTGCGCTTTACGAATCTTCGGAGCCCGAATAAAAAACTGCGCTATATCAATTTGCAAATATAACTGAATTGTGATCAGAACTTCTGTCCGCGCGATGTCTTTATCGCGCGCGTACATTCTGCAGATTGAATACCATCTATTATGCGCAAAGTGCGAGAGGAGTTTCCTGCTGCGCCCATATGGCATCGCGCCGGGGCGCTGCGCCGTTTGCATTCTCAGCGCCAGTTTGAGCGTGAACGCCAGTTTGAGCGTGAACGATTGCCGCGCGACAGATATTCGACCGCAAATGTCAAGCGCGCGGATGTTAGCGCGGCGGTCACACGATTTCCTCCTCGCGCGCCTTTATTGTCCGCGCGTCTCGGCGAGTTCCGCGGGATTCGTTCGCATTTCCCGATTGCATTCCGCATCGATCGGATTCCAGGCGATTGCCGCCGATTCCCCCGCGTAACGAATGAGCGCGGCTCCCATCTGTTTGCGTGTAAATGCAAGATCGTTACAGTTTACGGAGAGGAAAGGCACAATCGTGACGCACAATTGGCTGCGTAACGTCGCGGTGCCGCCGGTCTCCTTTAAGCCCGCAATCCGCGGCTTTACGCAACTGCACGCACGCTGCCCTGGTTTCGGAGGTCGACTTAATTGCGCGCGATAAATTGTCCCTTGCCCCCCCTCCCCTCCCCTTCCTCGTCGTCCGTCTCATCAGTCCATTCTAAAACGCGGCGGTCTGCCGCCGCTCCCATCGCCCCGAGCGCTGCGCGTTTCCGTTCTATCTCTCCTTCTGTCTGTCTATTACGTTTCATACCATTCCCATGTCCACGCTGCATCCGGCGGTCGTGAGCCCGCTACCGTGAGATTCGATTGTCGAAGTTTGGACTTGCACCAGAATTTCTCGCACAATTCACATAGAGCTGCTTCGCTTTGAGCGACGAATTAAAAATGTGATTTCGGGAAGCTTTCGGAATGATATTGCACAAATATCAAAATTCTATTCGAATTAATTTCTCAAATATTGATGCAAAGTTATCGCGCACGGAGAGAAAATAACAATGGTATCCTCGTTGTAAATATTCAGTTTGGCGCTAACTGCACTATCTAGCTCTCAATGGATTTTCAGTTCGCTTCGGGCTTAAATGATCGTGAAATCTTAATTAACCGAACACATCGTTAATTCGTAAACGGCTAGCTCGTTACTCGCCGCGAGTAAATGATCTACGAAGGATTCTTACTCAATCCGATACCTATTCCGGTTTCCCACATATTTCTACCATCTTTCCCATTCAAGCGAAACGGACATTTCCCGAACGGCCTCGCAGTCCAAGAATGCGCGTACGCTCTCACCGCGCCAGGGTCCAATTAGCGTATATCGCGTATGAAAGTCAGATGGAAACAAAAGCATGAGAATTTTACACCCGTTGATCGATCGCGGCCGATAAATTACGGATAAAAATAAATGCACGACAACAACGCGTCGTGAATATTTTTCAAATCGTAAAAATTTAAGCCGCTCTCGGAATAAAAAAAAAAAAAAAAAACAAAAGACAAAACTCTTTGTGCAATAATTCTCACACGAGTGTAAATAATTTTTTTTTACAGCGTCCGGCTCGGGATCCGTGATAGGCAGGGATCCGCTTCCGCCACGAGCCGTCAGCACGTCTCATCTGCCTCAAAGAACGCTGACACAACCGCCGACGGCGGTGTCCACTCTTCCGTTACCGAGAAGCAGCAACGCCGGCAACGGCGGCGGCGGCGGCGGCCATCGGCAGCAGCCGCTTCCGCTTCATCGCTCGACTCCGCAGCAACCAGCCATGAGGCAGCTGGAGGGCGAGTCCAACACAAACACCCAGATGCTGAGGGCCGCCAGCAACGGCGACATCGGCAAGTGCCCCGGCATGTAAGTGGAGACACACGATCTTCCCCCCCGCCGCTATTTGTACAGCGAAGTTTCGGCGCGCTGTAATTAAACCGCCGCCCCTATCGCGCCTCGTAATAGAGAAACTTATTAGCGTACGCGCGTACTCGCGCGACCGCAACCCTGCCGTCTAATTCCGGTTTGTTAGTCGCCCGAGTGTTCAGTTTACTCGAGGCGGTGACTCGCAAGGATGTTGTACATCATTCCAGTCAAATGTCTGTGCATTCTGTACATTCTCGCGGAGATGCTTGGGAGAATTCACGTTCGGCATGATTTTAATATTAAAATGTACGACGAGCCGCGCGATTGTTCGATCAATCGTTGTCGGCCTTGCGTAATAAATAGTTTCAGATTTTTTTTAAATGAATCCCAGCAAGCAGCATTGCAGCAACATCACAGCAATATTGCGACATTGCCACAACGTTGCTGCAATGTTCTGTGTTTGCTGGGATGTATCAACTTTTTTTTTTTTTTGGCAAAGCACGGTTTAATTAACATGTAAATTAAATATTTGTTTATCGAAATTGTAACAAAGTTCCGCCTTCGGTATTTTTTCAAATTGCCTAAAAGCGTAAAAAAAATAACACCAATGCGAAATTACTTATTACACAAGCCAATATAAAAATCAACTCGGCTCAACGGTGGTTTCATTTTTAAAAGCGTTAGAATGTTGGAAATTTATTTCAACTGGTGTGTCGAAACGGGATGCAGAGAAGGGCACACCAAGTTAATCACCATAAAAGGTCATAGCGTGCGTCTCCGTCCAAACGGAGTGCGATTAGCTATTGCCTTATTTAGCTCGCATGTCAAGCCGTTACCTCGCGCGTGGATTCGTTCATTCGCTCGCTGCTTAATTACTCGTCACCGCTTGCGCCAACAACAGCGCGTTAGTTAGCGCGGAATGAAGCGCGCAACCGGTCAAATTTCTCGCGCACTCTTGGCAAATTGCAGAGCGAGGAGACAAAATTGAGCAACGCCGCAATTGCGCTAATTATAACGAGCTCGCGCGAAGGGCGCCGCGCGATGTCATAATCGATGTGAGAATCGCTCTCAAGTTCGCCGAGCTCTGTAATTAACAGTGTCGTGAATTCGACCGCGCGCCGGCGACATTTTCTCGTCCACGTCGCATCGTGGCGCCTTTAATCTTTGGCAACGTTACATAGATAACAAATTTTAAGATACGAACATTAATAATCAAATGTGTTCACGGCGCGGCTCTCTCTCTCTCTCTCTCGCACTTCGCTTTTCACTTTGTTCTTATTTTACTTTCTACGAGTTTCTCGCATCCAACTATTTTTGGGTCTTTTATTCTTCGCCTCATTTGACACGATTCGCTCATCACACTTGATGACTATTATTACGCGCTTCGCTATAGATGTGAACCTTTATTTTCCGCCCATGAATACTGACGCCTTGTTAACGACTCTCAGGTAAACGGCACGGCGCGGCTTGGCGTGAAATCTCAGCTTCATCACATAACTACACGTGCATTAGCATTGCGTCCCTATTTAATTTTTACAGTATTATTTTACTCAGATTTGCAATCGTATTCAATTCTGTGTTATTTCGAGTTATACTACAAACCTGATAATAATCGAAACATTTCTTTCAAGATACACATTGTTATTATTCGCATTTTTATTGCGTTGATTCGTTTGTCCTTTTTCTATTTGATTTGCTTCATTCGAGTCTCCTCAGTTTTTGTTACATTTATTTCTATGTTTCGCGAAGTTTTTGCAATATTATTACAAAAACATTGAAAGACGACGTATGTCGAATAAAAATCACAAATCCGAAAATGCGTATTATATAATCTATCTGGAAAAATCCCGTCGATGCTTCAAGGCTGAAAGAGGCCTAACTCGAGGAACCCTTATTTAAGAGCGGCGTTTCTTTTCAAGCTGCTCAAGGTCCCCTTTTTCCCGTCATATTTCTTCCGCGTTAGGGCGTTCTCCGGTATCATTTTAAACCTGACCGAAGCAGACCCGCCACAAACCGACCCGCTAACCTGCTCGTCAAATTTCAGGATCACCAGCAGCGAGATGAGAGATCTGAGGTTGGCGTCGCCAGGCGGTCACTCCACTCAGCGATTGATCAGCCCGATCGGACACTTGCGGGTCGCCTCGTTAAACGACCATCGCGTCTCCAGCCCCAGCGACAGCGAGATACGCGTGCACAGTCCAAGTAAGTTCATCACTTGGCTTTTGTTGCGTCCACAATTTACCGTTCTGTCCGATTCTTTTCCCGCCGGTTTCCACGGCGATCTTCCCTCGATCACCGAAGCGATTAATCCGCCGATGGCAACTTCCGCCGATGGGGAATCCGGCTTTATGAAAGAACTCGAACTTTTACCGCGGAGTCGAAGTTGGTTAAGGCGCAATTAATATATTGTTGGCCGTAATACGAGTTGGAATCACTTCCGCGGCGGCAAGTTCGGCGGTTCCGAGAAAGAGTTACGACGCTGGATGTCGTAATAAATGTCTCCGAGCGAGTTAAAGCGCCCCCTTTGCTTTCTTCGGTGTGAAAACGCATAAAAGTCCAGCCGTTAACAAACGCTAATTAATAACGCTGCTAAAGATAGTGCCGAGAGTCAGTACAACGCCCACGTGCTTTGTGAAACTGTTATTTACACCATGCGAAACTTTGTGAAATTAATGACTTTCCAAGTGCGTTAATACAAATTTTCCTCGTTCACGAAAACTTTTCCATAACGCAAAATTTCCCATGTCATAATTACTTTAATTTTATATTAGAAATTTAATTGAAAACAAAACTTTTTGCAATTATTAAGAGGATAAACTGTTAAACAACGTTCGTATAATGAACTTGGAAAAATATGCAGCGTATAATCGCCACGTTTTCACTTATGACACCCGTCTTCAATATTTAAAGCTAGCCTAAGACAGCCCGGCCGAAACATTTGCTTCGCGCGAACTTAAGAGTGATAAACGGAGCCTCGCTTGGCGATTAATACCCGCGAGATTAAGCGGCGATTTAGCGTCTGCTCTGAATCGCAGGATTGCCGAACCGCCTGAAAAGCACATAAATTTAGGTCGAGAATTCAAGCGTGCGCCCAGCGCCCTTAATTATCCGAGGATCCGCGCGGCGATGCGGTCTTTGGTGAGGTGTGTGTGCCGCCCGTCTAATGCACAACGTGGAATAATGGAAATCCCGTGTGCACTCGGTGCTCCGTCTAACTACACGATGGTACGCATAATCGATATCAGGCTTCGGGAATCTCATCTCGCGGAACATATGAGCTGCGAATGCGCAATTTATCGCGTGAATATTGGACGTGGATGTTGTTGCGACGGAAAGAAATCACACGACTATCGGAATCGTTATTCTTGGATTAAAAATATCACAAGTCTGTAGCAATGGACACTTCGCGCGAGTATAATTTTCGCCGATTCTTTTGTTACAATTGCGATTTTTGAAGAATTTAATTTTCCGAAAAAAAACAATTGCGATCTTTTTGCATTTATGATGCAACGCGATGCCGAGAAAATTGTAAAACTGCAGTAGCTTCTGTTTTGGAAATCGCAAATGCGGAGGATAGCTTTCACGAATATCATCTTCAAAAAGAATGGGGAAAACATCGCTTGCGAATACGGTCCATCAAAAATTTTCTTTGTATCCCGCGCACAATCCGATTCCATTTGCGCAGAGTACAATAGCTGCGCGATATTTCGCTATAGGCGAAAGTTCGCGCTTCTCCATTTTACGATGCGTCTAACGGACGCAGCTGCGAAACGTTTTTGCAGGCATTTGAATATCCTATACACGGCGTTTCAGATCCATCACCGCTCGCTGTAGCCAAACAGCAACACGAAGGGCTAATTGTTTCGAAACTCATCCTTTTAAACCAATTGAATGTCACAGAATTCGACGAAGCTCAAACTTTTGACATATAAATTCAAAATACAAAAATTGCTACAAGCTTAATATTAAAAATTCCAAATAATCATCTTTTACTAAATTCTCGCGAACGTACACGGAAAAAAAAGTATATTGCGTATATACGCAACAATTTATAATCTTCCGATAAGAATTTAATAATCTTAAATTTTAACAATACTATAGTCTTATATATATATATATATATATATATATATATATATATATATATATTTCCATTTTATAACGATCACTTGAAGAATACAATATAATTATTTTGACAATAAAACATCTTCCTTTTATTTGAAAAATATGCTATTTTCTATCCAACATTTTTTCTTTTCCACTGAAGAAAATTATTCTTAAATAATAAGAATATTTTTTTCTTGGTTAAACTATATAAAATGACTTCATTCAAGCCAGCTTTCTTCGTTTAAAGCAATATAATCTCATTTCAAGATTTTCATGTTAAAAATACAGATATTTTTAAAATAAGTATCTTTTTTTTCCGTGTACGCGTTAGATTCTTTGGAGGAGCGGTGAAAATCTGAAAAGCGGCGGCATGCGCGACACTCCGTGAAACGGGTATAATAATGAAAGTAAGTGGCTCTAACAGAACCGCAAATATAAACGACTGCCATGAGCGTTATTAAGGAGAAAGTCAATCCGCTCGCTCGTTATTGCAATTTTTTCGCCGTCTCACGGAATCTAAGTCCGCGGGAAGAAAGAAATCTTCGGGAGTATCAGCGATTCCGATGGTCCCGATCCCTCATATATCCTCTCGCTCGTTACGACACGCTCAGAAATACGCGGCTTCCTTCCGTTTCCTCCCGTGCGCGGCTTTCTCTCGCCGTATCTCTTCGCCGAGGCGCGCCGTATCTCGCGCCGAGGCTGTAACTTATCTCTCTTACTGCTTGCAGGCGAGAGAAAAATGATCAGCCCGATCGGTAGGGAGGTCGATCGCGGCGGCGGCACGACGACGACGGCGGGCCAGAGACAACAGCAGCGGACGCGCGCGGCGGATTGCAGCGAGCTGCTGCACAAAAGGGTAAGCGAACGCGACAAGTCGTCGTCCTTTTAGCACCTCAACGCGAAAAGAGCGTCTGTTTATTTGATTGGCATGGCAGAGCATGGTGGACAGAGGAAGAGAGAGAGACAGAGAGAAAGAGAAAGGAACTCCGCGAGTCCATTCGCGGCATCGATCGTGCGACACCGTCGCGCGCAAGAATTAAACCGCGCCGTTTGTGGCATCGCGGTCACCGCAAACGGGAAATTTACGGTCGGAGACGATCGCGGAGACGCGCTCGGCAAAAGTATCGCTTGTATTGTTTGAAGTATCGTCGATGGCTTATAGCAGAGTCGGCCAATGGTGCTTACGGTTTCGTCGATATCTCGCGGCTTAAAAAAAATTTGCTCCGCGAACATTCTCGCCGAACCTTTCAGGTTGTGAAAATAAACGCGTTACGGCGATTCCTGCAGCACGAACTACTCTCCCATCTCTCCGATAAACAATTCGAAAATTCCGGATTTATGCACAATATCAATTATCGCGCAACGATCACAGAGCGAATTCCTTCCCGCGAATGTTGCACGATCGACGGCCTATCCGTTTTTACCGCATCACCCATAATCATCTCTTTGTCTCTGTTACGCAAATACCCACTGTCTGTTTTATTGACGTGGCGTAGTCCGCATATCATCATCGCAGCATGTAAATTCCATTAGCTCAATTAATTAAAATGTAGCCCCCAGAGAGAGAAAGAGAGAGCGAGAGAGAGAGACTAGTACTTTCGCACATTACACACGCACACGTACGAATCTATATTGCGATTCGATGTGAACGTGATTGATAACGTCCGCACTGCGCAGTATATCGCGTACAATAAGCGCGGGAGCAACAATTTCCAACGACGCTTTGACTTTTCAAAGCGGAAAACAATTTCGACAAATTACAGCTGATGAGTTTCTCATAATTTATGCGGAGAATCACATGGACCCGTGTCGCCGTGTAATCGTAAATATGAAACAGAGGTCTTCATTATTTCGCCATTACGCGAAGTGAATCGTGAATATGCGATAAAATAAATGAGAATCATTAATATACAAGGAAAATAAAATTAATGAGGTTGGAAAATGAGTTTGAGAATCGAATACGAATTTTGCCGAAGATCCTTTCACCTTTGCGATTCGCGTCGAATCTAATGAAGCCATATGCGGCTGTACACGCATCCTTGATTCCACAAATCGTTTGTTTAGTATGCAACAAGTATAACGCCGGACGGTCGTAAAATTCTAAGCGTCACTCGAGAAGTTCGCAAGTTTGCGCTACAGATAAATCCTGTTAGACGGCATTCTTCGAATACGATTTCATTGCCCTTCTCGCGACCGTCACCAGGTCCGTTCGCGGCGCAGGTGAAGCTGAAATTCTTCGTCTCGCGAATTCGAACGGAGAGTCGGTTGTTGTTGTTGTTTTTTTTTTTTCCTTTTTACACGAGTTTATCTCGAGCGCGTGGTACGCGCGGGGAGGCAAGAAAGTAACGACCCGAGTGTCGTCGTCCTGGCGTTATTACATACAGCGGGGCAGCGGGGACGGGAGGGGCGGGAAGGGAGGGCCAAGACGGGGAGAGTGCGAGCGAGAGAAGGCGGGAGAGGCGGGGAGAGCGACGGGGACAGGTGGGGAAAAAAGAGAACCGAGAAACCCGGGGGTCCAGGGTCGATCCTGCATACGGTCAGCGCCGGTCAGCAAGGGCACCGTGCCAAGGAACTGCAGACGGGCTTTAAGCTCCGTGCACAATGGATCTCGCCGTTTGACGGCGCGGCATTCATCCTTTCGCAACTCCGCCGAGCTCCTTACGGTCTTATCTCTCGTGGAAGAGAAAATAGAGCCCCCGTGCGATGCGCGATAATGCACAAGTCGGCGGTGAGCACACGTTCAACGTAGGACGCGTTCGCAAACCCGTCGAAGCAAGTCGTTGAATCCAAAAATCTCGCCTCCGCGAGATCTTCGATCGCGGCTGAATCGAGAAAAGACAGTGCGCGGCGTCTTAAAGTTGCGTCTCGGATGTTGAAATGCGGTCGACCGCTAATTCCAGCACGATGCCTCGAAATAATACGGCTTCTCGCGAAACATCATCCTTCCTTCTCCGAATCGGGCCGCCGCGATAATATCGGGACCGCGTAAATCGACACCTCGCGCCCGCGACGACACACGAGAAGACGTCCGATCGCCGCGTGTGGATCCGCGTCGTCGTCCTGGCGCGCGTAATAAACCGACGGGAGAAACGAGAGCGTCGCGACGAGAGGCGCCCGAGAAGCGAGGAGGAGGAAGAGACGGCGGCAGCTCGGAACTTTTGTCGGCGAGCATACCCGCGTGTGGTCGAGGGCCGACCGGGCCCCTCGGGGGCAAAAGGTACAAAACGCCGGGCACTGGGCGAACCAGGCACGGCGGCGATGCGCACTATGCAGCCGGCCGGTCGGCGTACAAGCGTGCCGATGAGACGCCAGTCCGCCCGCCGAAGTCCTCGCGTCGTTCAACGCGCGCCATAACGCGTCCCGTGATTCGCCGGGTGAGGCTCGTAGTTCCTTTTTCTTTTTTCGGCAGTGGAAATTTCTTCATTTTTTCTGGAGCGCTCAGCTGATCTGCGAAACGGACGAGCGGGGTCTGCCAGCGATTCAAAAGGTACGAAAGCGTCGGCGTGTAAAGACTCGAGAGAGACGCGGCGGGCTAAAGTGCCATTAAGTAATTCGTTCGATATATTCGCTTGATTAAATGAAGATTCGGGATCGAGGGAGGTGAAAAGCGATTTCCAGACACTGTATCGCGCGCTCTCGACGTATACTTGGCGTTTAATGCCGGGGAGACGCGAGTTTGTCTGTTAAACGTTAGAGTGTCGAGCTCTCCGCTCGCACGCGCGCTTCCCGAGAAGCTTGTAAAATTACAAAGGAGAGAGAAATGCACGATACGCATATACCTTCTGTAGATACGGAAAGTAAAAATCAATTGGTAAATCGCTATAAAATACAAACGATTTCTTAAAAACTCATTAATTTCCCTCGCAAAGACGTTCGTTTAACGAGAGAAACTGTTGTCGGCGAGCGTGTGTGAGCGCGCCTTTCTTCTTCGCAATGCGCTTTGTCGTGCGGGTATGCTGATGTGCCTCTACACGCGAGACAAGGTACTCGGGATTTACTGAGCGATCGTTCCTCGCGGGGGAATAACGCCCGATCTCGCGAGAATATTGCGCGAGTGCAGATCGAGATTGCACACGCACGAGAATATCGACGATTTGACGGAAATTTCAGTGAAATTCGAAAAGCGGACGATCCCGGCGGAGAAGCTGTCCGTTAAAATAAGAAGGGTATTTTCGTTCGAAGCGCGAAGAGAGCTACGATCGATGCCACGGACTCCGTACCGAACATTCGCTGCTGACCGGTTGAGGATCCGCCGCAACGCTACGTGCAGCGCCGAGCCGCGGCGTGACTCGTGTCCGTTCGCGCGCTCGTCGATGAGAATTCGTACGGCTCGTCGTCCTCCGGGCGAGCGACGGTCCTGTATTAGAGGATTGGAAAGTAATAGAAAACTGCGGCGCGCCTCGTTTCTTCGACTTTTCCACGACCTTTAGAAATGCTTGCGACGGCGCGCGGAAAATATGACCGTTCGCCCAATTTGCCCGGAGCGTCGATATTACCTTCGGACTGGAATGTAAGTAAATACGGTCTGGCGAGCCGGGCTATTTTCGAGAATTTAAAAGCGCCGTGGATTTAAGTGAAGAGAGAACGGTTTCGAGAATTAGCTGGAATTGTATTGCGACGGCGCGCCTGCGCTAAGCGAATATAAATTTCGAATAAACCAATCGTCTTCGCGCGACACTTTCGCGCGATCTGAAAATAAATATTTCATCGATTTGTTAATGAAACAACACCGGGACGTTAATAACGCGTTGTCTGACGCAAATGCCGGCGGTAAATATTTGACCGAGCGCGCAGTGCAGTTATTTTCGCGAATTGATAGCGCGCCGCTTATTATTTACCTATCGGCGCCGCGCGCGCAAATATTAAGCAAATTACTTCGGCACGACAATTGTTGTTATTCCAACGATGTGTCCCGCATTTCGCTCCCCGCTATATTACACGAGATTGAGTGTATCCGCCGCTCCCCCCAAGCCACCGCAAATCCAACCGTAAGAGCCACTAAAACATAGCGGTTTTGTTACACGGCGATGAATGCGAAATGGCAGACGGGGGAAGAGATCGGCTAAGCGGTAATCCTCATCCTGGGCTCACCCAGGAAATTCCAGGCGGTTAAAAACTTCTACGGTCTCTCCCTCTGTCTCTCTCTCTCTCTCTCTCTCTCAACCGACATAAAACCGCCAGCTGAAATTTCAATACGGCTAAACGGGCTGCCTAATTCGAGCTGATGCGGTTCGCCGCATTCTCTATGTATTTCCCGCATTTATGTGGAATTTTGTTCCGAGTTAGTTTCCATCATTTTATCAGTTTCGGCTCGCGGGATGCAGCCGAATATATGTACGCGTATCTCGTCGCCCATAATTTAATTCCCCTCTGCGCCTTCCGGCGCTGCGCGATTCGGTTGGATGCCGCTTCGCGTATTATCGCGATAGCGCAACACTGGTTTACCTTTCGGCGAAAGAAATGCGCGAACGGCGGAGTCGCCGCATATTCTGAAAGATCTCACTGAATCGAGCGATTCAGCGAAACAGCGAGCCGCAGAATATTATCCGTAGCTGTAGCGTGTATTAGCTGTGAAGTGCGATGTGCTAATCGATGCTGTGCCGATGATAATGCAGTCTCCTCTCCCATGCCAATCTGATTCACACGCTCGTATATTCCGCCAACGATTGCGAACATCAATCTCTATTTTCCCGAATTTTTTCCCAAAGTTCAAACAGCAAAATCATTGTGCGGAAAATTGATCAACGTTTTCGGGCTGACGATCGCGCAGAACGTAGTTGTGCAATAATGTGTGTATGTTTTCTATTAGCATCACTCGCTTAATTATGCCCCCGCCCAGAGATCCCATTAGCTTGCTCCCACTTCCTCCGATTCTCGTTTGATTATTGGCAAAGTTCGCAAGCTCCCCCCCCCACACACACACACAAATTTCCGCAGCTTGATTATTCCGCGCGTTGTTCGCGCGCTGGTGGCTAACGGACGATTGCATGCCTCGACAGAGTAACGTCGGCTCCCAGAGAGCGGATGGCGGCAGGCAGGTGATGCAGGCGGGCGCCCACGGGCTGGTGCGCGTTTCCGCCGGCGAGCTCCTCGGCAGGACCCACGAGGAACTGGTGCTGCTGCTGATCCAGCTGCGACGGCAGAACGCGACGGTCCTCAAGGCGATGGAGACGTGCCACATGGAGATCGAGGCGCAGGTCCGAAGAGAGTTTTACATTTCGTGACACGTTCACGAAATTTTCACAGCGATTAGATTAAGCCGGGACGATGGGATCGACTCTTCGATCGAGTTCGAGGAGCGCTGCTTTTGAACGACTGCTTCGACATTAGCGAAAGAGAGAGAGAGAGAGAGAGAGGGAGAGAAATGTATCGCTTTGATTGACGACCGTGCGTTTGGCGAGATCTTTCAGGATGTGTTAGAATTAGATCGATGTGTGTGTACGGTGCACGTAGATTACGAATCCATCGTGACAATGATACAGTATGAGCGATCGACGTCGTTTCTTATCGTTGTCGTCGTCGTCGGTGCGCGCAAATAACGAAGCGGGATTGCAGGTGGACTCAGTTACGTTTTACGGACCTTTTTGACCTTCGTCGAACTGGCGCGAGCGCGACACATTTGCTTTCCGCCGAGTCCGTATTTAGCGCTAAAGCTCGATCGAAATTCTTTTCCTCCGACAATTTCACGAGTTCACATTGAACGTTCGATCATAGAACCGGACAGCTGCCGTCAGCACGCGTCAAATATGGGACGCGCGCGAACACACCGCCGTGATCTCTCGCAAACGTTGCGGGACTTGGAGGAGAAAGTCGAGTCGAACTTAGGGTCGTCTTTCTACGCAAATATGTGTCCGTTGCATTATTGTGTTCTCGGCTTGCACTCGAGAGCGTCACGGAGGTGACGTGTAGCGCTTGGCACGCGAAAACACGAAGTGCATTAATTGACACGCGAAAAACAAACGGAGACTACCAACGTTACGCGATAAACGTTTCGTGTGTTTGCACTCGCAGGCTAGACTGGCGGAGCTCGACACGCCGAGGCGGCTGGAGAATCTTCAAAAACTCGAGGAACTCAAGAGACACCTAATGGATCTCGAGAAGCAGGTGAGATACGTTTATTGTGCAAAAATATTCACTTTCGACAAAAAAATATCGAATTCTCTGCATAGACGCGAAGTAAAAAAGAAGCCGAATAGCTCAATATAAGAGCTTGGAAAAAGAACGAGTAATAATAATTTCATACATCCTGTGAAAGTTTCAGAAAATTACTATTAAGATGGAATGAAAAGTGGAGAAAAATAGTTTGAGATAAAAGTTTTCCTCAAAGTTTAAAGAATAAATAAATTTAATTTTTTAGAACGAATTTTTCCTCGAACAATCTTTTCATTCGTTAATTTAATCAGTACTTTTTTTAGAGTACTAATATTTATACGAAGAACCCTCTAAATTTAATCGTGTTCGATTGTTTGCGAAAAGTACGAGAAGAGCAAGCCTCTCGTGAACCTCGTGGACAACATGGTAAAGCTGGGCTCTCTGTATAACCGTAACACTGCCAACGGGACCAGCAGCGTTTCCGGTTCTCGCTACGATCTGATGCACGAGAACGCGAGAGATCATCGCGACCGTTTGGAGTTTAACCAGAGGGTGCAGGAGCAGCGATTGCTGGCTGAGGAGCGCAGAGATTGGGACAGATTGAGCCCCGATCACGGCCAGTTACAGGTGATTTAATCTGTGTTATTGAAATCGCTTTGCAGCTAACTTCCCGAGTCGAAATTTTAACTTCAACCTCTATTTTTTCACGGATTCTGGAGGATTTCGATAGATTTCATTTATACAAGAATATGTATATATTGTATTTGCTCCTATTTTGTACCTCGAATAGGCAGTAAATGAACCGTTTCCCATTATGAGGTTTAAAAGAGGAGTTTCAGTAAAGAGCCAGAGGTTAAATAGGTTCAAGATAGGACGATGCGACTGCTTAAAGTATCAAATTAGGTGTTAGATTGAACAAGTAGGAGAAAAATTTCGATTTGGGTTGCGCGAATGCACGCGACGAAAAACAATTGCTTAGATAAGAATAATTGTCATTTCTCGCGCCGTTAAAAAACACGATCTCAATACATCGCCTCGATTAAAGCCTTTGAAACTGAAACTGACTCGATTCGCAGACGCTGTCCACTTTCTCAACTTATGACGGATATTAATCGCGAAATGTGTTGACGCTCGGAAATCCAACTCGTTTTTACTCGTTCCAATTTCTATTTTATATTTTCCGTTGCATTCCTCCCGCGAAATGATACTCCGCGCTAGAAAGCGTACTTAAGGCGCATCGCGCTCGCGAACTCTTCTTGACCAATAGAAAGGATTCCTGATCTCTCGCCTACCGCCGAGCACATCCGCGATGAATGAAGCTGTAAAAAGCCGATTGGAAAGAGCGCGCGTGCAAAAATTAGGAATGGCCACCGCAGGCGCAACTACAAAGGAGACAGAAGTCGGACGACACTTAAGACCTCTCGTAAATTCTACGAAGAGCTCACTTTACCAGGATATATACTCTCTAGTCTCCACGGACAGTGTCCACTTAGTATCTTACGTCCCGTTTCCTTTTTATTACCGCCTAAGCCCTCGAGAATTTTCGACGTCTGCGCGTGCCGCGGTGCAAAATTTAATTCAATTAACGAGCGCACATTTCTTTCCTCGATCAAATATATCTTTTAATCGGACGCGCGCAAGACGCATTTTCATTTCGAATAATAATGAATTAATGACAAACGGAAAAAAGAGTTGAGAAAAGTATACGAGAGAGATACCTCGGAATTATTATCATCGAACAACGCGATAACTTAAAATTGATGGCCGCTGCCGAGAGTATAAAGTTATAAAGGAAATACAGTGAAATCTCTTCCGCCGACGTAGTCGGAAAGATAAAAATATTTTACGCGTTACACACGAAAGAACAAGGACAAAGACGAACGCCGGCGGAGAATAAAGCTTCACGTTGTTCTAGAATTAACGACAGCAGATCTCTCTCCGTGAGATTTGTTCCGGTTCTGTTGAAACATTATACCCAGCTTGCCCCTTGAGCAGCGAAACTTGAAGATTTCGTAGCTCACTCTGTAACCTTACTATGTCGCAGGCTAAAGTGCAGCAGCTTTACAAACTCGATCGATTGCTCCAGGAGGAATCTGGCACGCTTCACAGTCTCCAGCAAGACAAGGTTGGTATCGATATCTGGCGTCATAACAGCGAGTATCCATCGGCTTTTAAACTGTTCGAAAGATTCCGAATATATTTCGAAGATAAAATTCACATTCCGTGAACTCGCGCTTTGATTGCGCGACTGCGTATGTTTTCAACTTTTTCTGAAAAAATATATCTTGTAATATTGATAAAAACGTTTCAATGTGTAAATAGCAATGAACTGGCTCTTTTATCCTTTTATTTGTTGCTTAATCCGAGCCTTTGTCATTTTTGTTAATAAACACAATTTGACGGTGCTTTGAGCCTAAAAATTTGTAATCTGCGCGAGACACATCTCGTCTACTGTTTAGAAAAGCCGATTTCATTATTCGCTTGGAACTAAAACGGATCGTTCGGATATAAGCTGCGAAATGACATCAGTTGTCCTAATTTCGAGACATAGAAATCGCTAGATCGTGTCACACGCATGGCCGACTTAATTCTCGTAGGAAATACTCGAGAAGGCTCTGGGCGGGTTGCGGCACAAACTGCAAGGTAGCAGAAGCAATTTGGCCGAAGCCGAGCGATACCGGAAACAGCAACTCTTGTTGGAGCGCGAGCTGAGCCGAGTGAGGGTGCTGCTCGCTCAAAACTCGAAGGTAGATAATTTCGAAAGCGCACCTGACAGCCTACTAATACGCGCCTCTATCCGCCCGCGCGATCCCCGCGTCGATTTACGCGCGGATCTATTATTAAAAATTGACGTAAACTGATTGGCAGAAAAACAAGTAAATTGCATGTCAGTCGAGATTCCAAAATGCGAGTAATTGCCGCTCATCGTTTTTTGCATGCTTTTTAACATCATCCAAGCATCGAACATTGAATATTCAATCGCGCTTTATCGTTACCGCTAATATTTCTGCTAATAATAGATTTTTCATTTCAAGTTTATTGTTTACTAATGAGAATTTGATTGAAGGCAATCATTGGATACCTCTTGATACTTTTGTAATGTGTTTTTGTTCAGTTTTTGCTCTTTCATTATTTCTGATCCTTCGCGATGTAGAAATGTAGATCGCGAATGTATTATGTATGGCAATTAAAATTTCGATTCACTGTTTCCAGGTAAAGCCGGTATTCTTCCAGGTAAAAAAAATTGCACTATTCACATTATACTTTTCCGTTCAGTCGTTCGCCGTTTCGTTTTGCCATTCTCGTTCCGCAATGGAATCTTACGAAATCTCACGCGCGTTTTCATCCCGCGACTTTCGACGTGCTTTCAGAAACTCGAGGAGACGGTGGCCGAAAACGCGAGGCTAGAGCAGGATTTGGTGGTGCTGAGGCAGAAAGTGCAAGCATCCAGAAGATACGCCGGTAACATAGTGAGGGACACTTCGAGCACGACCGCACCGCTGGAAGCGGAATTGAGACGAGTGCAGCAACTTGTCGGCGATCTGCAGAGACAAAGGAAGGAACTGAGCATTCAAGTTCGCCAATTGACGGAGAAATCTCATAGTTTGGTGCAGCAAATTCGCCCGCAGCCTTCGCACAGTAAGTGTAAAAAACAAAAAAAAAGCTACCTGTTTTACGAGATAAAATTCGCAAACTCATTTTTTTTATCTTATAAATTACTGATCTGATCAGCTGAATGAATTCGCAAGTTTTTTTTTCTCACAGAAACTTGAGAATCGAAGAGTGTTATGTATTTCCATATGTCGTTCGCGAAGAAGGAAAGTAATTAAGAATGAATTTCTCAGCTCCGCAAGTGCACCACCCGAAGAAGCGCACGCAGAATTCCTGGCTGGAGACCGACTTGGATTCCGGAATAACTCTGGACCACGGCCTCGACTCGCCGTCGAGTCCGTCTCTGTCCATCTCGCCCCCGAACAAGCAGAACGACCTCTCCCACCAGCGATATGGCTCCCCTACGCAGTACAAGGATTTATCGCCGTTGAATCGCCCGCAGAATCAGTCATCCTTTGTGCAGCCCTCGCAGAATCACATATCGGCGCTGTCGCCGCAGCTGCGCGAGCAGATTCAACAGCACCAATTGAAGCAACAATTATTAAAGGATCAAATGCAGGGCAAGGGCGGCGCGATTCAAGTGGCGCCTTTGTACGTCAATACGGACTCTCGAGTAGCAGGTAATGTTGTCCGTGGAATAAATCCCGCGTCGCGCGTCACAAATAAGCGTTAGAGTTATATCAAGTCGAACTTATGCCCGTTCGAACAAGTGGCAGCGAACCATTAATACAATTGCAAGACAACTTCACTATGTATACTGACTTTTTTAATTCAAGGTGATTACATCACCGACACGAGCAAGCATAACGGAAGCGTATTGAACGGCATGCTGAATTCCGCGCCGGAATACATTCCGCCGCCGCCGCCTCCTTTGAGCGAGGAGGCGTTGCTGCTGAACGACAATTATAGACAAAACGAAGACAACAAATTCGCCGGTGAGTTGTCGGTTTTACCGCGGAAACACGAAGCTTCGTGTGGATCGGAAATTTTATTCTCCGTGTTCGTGCATTCGCAGGATTAATGCACAGTCGCGAGAAGCAAGAAATTAAGACGGTGCGCATAGTGAAACGCGAGTCGGAGAGGCGGCAGAGGGACCGCGGCGACCGGACCGGTAACCTCGGAATTCCGTTGACGAACGGCCTCCAAGCGCCAGGTGGCGCGAAGAGGCTGTGCGACGAGGACTTGGGAGGTTCCCAAAAATTCGAGGTAAGGTCAATACCCAGACAGCACAACATATCCAAAAGACGTCCAGAGGATGTTTTTGGGACTACAAGACGTCCTCTGGATATCCTTCGGATATCCTTTGGATGTATTTTGGACATGTGTGCTGTCTGGGTAATAACAGTAAATAGTAATTCATAATTCAAGAATATTAATTATTCGTATTAACCAGTTGAGTGGTAATGTATCATATATGTACAAAAAAAAATGCCAAACGTGGTAATGTATCATATATGTACATTTCTAAATAACTCCACTAATTTTCAACAGATTTGCATAAAACTTAATATTTTAAGGTTTTTTTGGGCTGCTGAATTAAAATCTGTTGTCAAAATTGCAAAATTTAAAATGGCGGATCCAATATGGCGACTGTTAATTGTTAAAACGACTAAAATATTGGAGTTAGGTAAAATATGTATAAGACCTTATTTGTAGAGCTTTTTATGAGCTTCATTTTTTGTTTGACAACTTTTTCCGTACAATCAATACTTTCTGAAATAATTAACAAAAACAGTTTTATTTTTGAACCTTTGAGGGGGGCTGGGGGGCGGAGGAGGCATTTGCGCCAAAAATCCATTTGGGAATATTATTTACTAGATAAAATAAGTATTTAGGCTGAATATAAGCCAAATCGGAGGTGATAGCTTTTCGGAAGTCCACCCCCCTTTTTGATCCACCTCCACTTTTGACTGGAAAGTCGTAGTAAACATTTTTAAAAATCATTGTTCTTGTTTTGAAACGCCCTTTGAAATGATCCCCACTCGCCCATAGTGCCATTTAACATTTTCCATCCCTATTCTGCCCCCCCCCGCCCCCAGGACGTTGGGGGGAGGGGGAGATCCACACCCATTTCGAAAAGTTGCTTTTTCGAAAACTTTGAACCCATGTTTCACCGTTTTTTGATATTTTAACTTTTGGCTCTTACCACTTTTGGCACAAATCTTTCGAAAAAGTCTACCACTCAACTGGTTAAAGTGGCAAAATTTAATCAAAGTAAATTGGAAAAGTATCGATTTCACTGACGACTACAATCTTTTAACATGCAGAAAGCTCAGCTGGGCAGAGTAGTGGAAGAATCGCCGATCATTCATGCCCAGAGCACGGTTCAACTGACCGAGCTGGATGACGTGCAGTTCCAGAGGAGCATGTCTCTGCCGCGCGGCTTCGGCGGACAAAAACAGCATTCCGCGATGCACTACGGACCCGTGGTGCCGCCACCGCGAAGCGACAGCATGCACGCTCTGAAGAGTATGATAGCGCGACGACATAAAATCAGGGTGAGTCTTGCGATAGCTTACGATGCTTGAAGGACTGCGCGATAGTTGTAGACCGCTCTGTAGAGCTGAACCCGATTTCCCCTTCATATTTTTTTATGGATGATAATTATTGATTAATTTCATTCCACCCTCAGCATCGCCATTTCGCCTGCCTGTTTTTTTTTTTGTTTTTTGTTAATCCCATTTGCTCCCGGCATTTTACATTCTTTTTTTGACGCTCAATCGCAGTTTGAAAGTCACGACGGCAGCTCCGATAGCACTTTGTCGCCGTACGCGGACAGTACGACGTCCAGCTCTCACGTGCCGTTGAGCTCGCCCAACTACTCCACCGCCTCGTCGTACAGCCCGAGTCAGAATCAGAATTATCCGACACAATTAGCGACAATGGCTGTCGCGCAGCCTCACTATCACAGCCACGCGCTCGGATACAGGCAGTACGACAAAGTCCTCGTGAGCGCGATGAGCCCCGAATTAACGTCGTCGGCCAGCGTCGTCGGCGTTCACGAGAAACCGACCGCCCCGGCGGCGGCGGCGCCACGCAAATCCGTCCGAGTCGCCGCAATTGTCGCCGGTGTTCAAGAGCGAGGCCGCCAAACAGATCATCAAAGAGATGACGGAGAAGAGAGTGGAGGGGCCGAGGCGAAGGCAGATTCCGCGGGAGAAGAGGCGGCACTACACCGTGTCTAGTAGTAAACCGGTGCTCGACTTGGAAGACACTTTTTCGAAGATGGTACTTTTTGTTTCATTCAATTTCCGTTTCTCTCTGTCACATACTTTCCCCGTTTTCGTTTATCCGCGTTTCACCTTTGTCGCTCACTCCCAATTCGTTTGCTTCGCTATGTCCCGCTAACGCCCAGCTTTGAACATTCCGGACTCGTGTACGTACGTGACGGGAATCTCTGACGATTTTTAGGGCATGGGCAGAGCCAGGGACGATCTCGACATGGAGAGAGCACTCAGACCCAGAATAAACGCCCCCGATGTGGTACGGTCAACTTTGAGCCACAAAGAGTTGAAGTATAATGAGAGTACCATCGACCAGCTGTTAGGTACGCCCAACAAAATTGTCATCCCCGAGAGATATATTCCTGAACAGGTATGTGCTTCTTTATTTCTTCGAATCGAGCATAGAAAAAGTAAAAATTATTCTAATCTATACTCTGCTCTAAACATAAAATAAAATAAAAATCTGAGTTGTTAACGTTTCTTTGACGTTTACATATTAAATAAATTAAATTACACATATATTATTGTAATTTTCCAGACGCCGGAACTCACGGCGGAAGAACAAGAGCAACGCTTGAAGAAAGCAGAAGCGATTAGGAAGATGCTGTCGGAAACAACCGTGACTGCGCCAGAAGGAGGTGGTATGCAGTATTTCTTTTTTCTTTTAGTTAGCCAATATTTTTTAATTGGTTTTAATATAACTATTTTATAATTGATTATATATTATCTTGCTAATGTGTATATCGTATGCTTTTTTCAGACGACGATTCTAACATAGAAAAATCAGACACTTTGAAGCGAAAAGTGGTGGAAGAAAAGCGGCAGAGGGAACACATTCTTCAGCTTAATCAAATATTGGCTAAGCAAGTGATGGAGAAAAGTAAAATGGTGGCGGGTAGGTTGACGATATTGCAAATAGCGCATGACTTTAATCGTTTATATGTAGAGCTGTGACAGCATGCTCATTTCATTTAGCTTTCAAGAAACGTCGTCTTTTTAATCAACGATCAATCAAATTTTTCTATTGCTTACAAAATTGTTTTGCAATGTTTTCAATATTTTATTCATTCAATTAATCTGAGCAATTCACATCGCATTGTCCGGTCACGTGTATTTTTCTCACTGATACGGACACGCATGTTTTATTTGAGTTATGCTGTTTTACGATATATACAGCTTTTATTCGAGACAGTGAATACATAGTTTCGTCTTAGGGAGTTGTTTGCATTGTTTGTGCTTGTGTGTAGGTAACCAGGCACACTGACTGACATGCTTACCTCATCCCCCCCCCCCTCTTATAGGATACGCACGTCACATTATCATTTTCAGGTTTGTTTGCCACTTTTTATTTTTTTTAATTTCTTCTTTTTATTTTTTCCCCAATCAAGCTATCAAATGCAGTCGCAATTTATTGATATGCATTTATTAAAACAAAGCCAATCGTCGTTACTGTTAACTTATATACAAATAATTAAAAAAGTAAATTGAATAAAAAATGAAAAGATAAAATAGCGAAAGCTTAAAGTAACAACTCTTAAGTTTCGCTTTCAGTAAACGCATTAACTCGCAATGGTTACTTTATCATATCTTATTCACCGACAGTGAAAGCCCTGGCAACACTCCCTTTGAAAACTGAATCGAGCTTAGATGACGAGGACCTCTCGCCCGTGGCTCCTTTACCGCTTTACCAGCAAAGAGAAAATTTCTACTCGTAAGCTATCATCTTCAAGAGCACAAATAACACTACTGCCAACACGAAGAAAAGAAGAAGAAAGAAAGAGAACACGGAGAAACTTTTTTCCAGTGCTTAAAAGGCGCGCGGAAATTCCAGTGCAGTATACTGAAAAAGTGCGTTCTATTCGCGTCGATTGTACATAATTATCGACTAAATAACATGATAATAAAAATAGCTGTCATGTTTGTTAACGATAAAAACTCGTAATGCAACATTAATTGAAGCGCAGACGGTGACTGCGTGACTTACAGAAAGAATTATCAGCGTGTTATCAGACCGCGAGAGCGAGTACGCGTGTCGTTTTCCTCAGCTAAATGATAAATTTAGCAATATCGTGATTTATTGTCGCTTTTTACCGACATTGACACTCAGCGTTGCACAAGCGATATTTGCTGGAACGAATTTAACACATTTTCCGGACGATGTATCCGACTCTATGTGAGAAACCTTTTATCACGTCTCTTCGTAATCGAACATTCTTTTTCGAAAATTTTAAGATTGATACGTATTTATAACTATAAGAGATATACTCCCCCGACTGAGAATCTGATTTGGATGTTGTTGTGTATGTTTTACGTACAATCATTTTCACGATGCGAACTTTTATATTAAACCGAAACAAAATTGCGTACCATCACCGAAGTCTGAACGAAACGGTATCCTTAAATTCAACGGCGCAGCAGGCTCAACACTTTAGCGACCGACTCAATTATGCAGATAAATCGAAAAGAAAAAAAAAGTATACACACATTTATTAGAATGTTAAGCGCGCTAAAATATTGAGCCTGCTGGATTTTATTCGCCGAACTCGATGGTGAAAAGATAATGGCGTTGATGGCGAGCGCATAAATTATCATGTAAATTAGATCGTAAGGAAGGTATGACGCATACGCTTCTGAAGCGCCCGTTATTATTAGCATTATATACATACATACAATTTTTCACGGGCCATTATAGTGTGGCGTTTAATGTTTAGAGCAGTTGTAACAGTCGTAAAGAAAGAGTGCCAAAATTCCTGTCACGATGACAAGCGACAACGAGCGATTGAGTAACCGTCAATTAAAGAATCGCTACTGATATCAATAAAGCGAGTGAATGTCGCATATGATGCGATCGAGCATTTAATATAAGTAAAAAAAGAATCATCTGATCGTACAGGATTAATAGTTCGCGGTTTCACTCTCTTACTTCCGTGTTACGCCCGTGCAAATTAGCTAACCTTTAATTTAATCGAGTTTTACCAATAACGCTCTCTCATCAGTGAAGTTTGATTGAATCAAGTCGTCGAGATTATTATTTCATTCATCGCTTCTTGACACAGAGCAACTTTGGGAACAACAAAGTTCTAAATAACTTTAAAAATTTCAAGATGGTGTTTAGCTAACGCGCGCGTTTCAGTTTATTTATAGACATTAAATTCGAGTTATTGAAATCTTGGAAAGAAAATGATTTTCCAGCTATCAAGATCAACAATAACAATCGTAAAACAATTTTTACAATTAAGGGCTCAAGAAGTGTATAATTTCATAGAAATTATAGACTTACCGAACAACTATGAAAGTCGATCGAGTATCGATCCGTGAAACTTAATCTCAAGCTGAAGGGATGATATTCCGACATCTTTATGCATTATTCGTCTCCGGCACACAACACACACACACACGAACCACCGAGTTTCTTAGCGATAAGTTTTTATAATGATAATCCACGCGCGCGATACTTTTGTCACTGTATACTATGTACTTATGTTATGCGCATTTATTGTATATAATCGCGCACGATACAAACCGATAAAACTCGATGAAATACGGTTCTCTTTTATAAACCCGGCGTTCCTTGCAAAAGTCCGCCATAACTGATAGCTTCGAGAATCGCAGGCGCGCGCTATCGATATTAATCGAATCGTATTCGATTTAATGCAATCGATCGTCGCCGATTTTGAACGAATAATCCCGAATCGTTCCGTAGATTCCTGCGAGGGATATTGAAAATAATAATAGGAAAACGCGAAACATTACACGAATTATTACACGAGAACGAGAACTGTTATTGTTATATTAATGAAATAAAAATCGTATGGCGAGCAATGATGGTAAAACCTTTTCTTAATCCTTCTTTCAATCTGAAAATAAAATAATTTTATTTAATTAAGCTTTATATTTAATTTTCAAACGTCCAATCCAATTTAAAATTAATTAAAAAATCTATTTCAAATATTTTAAGAAAATTATAATTTTTAAACTTTTATTATATTTAGAATAATTCTTATTATCGAATAACGACAAGAAATAAAAAATGATAATATTCTAATATTTTATCGCGAAATTTGTGAATATATATCAAAATACATATTAGTTATATATACAAGACTAAAAAGAACTAATACATATTCACAGATATGGAAATATATTTGGCAATAGTATTTATTTTATAATTTTAAATACGTAGCCATATGCCTACAATAAAAACGAAAGGGTTAATTATATAAAGAAATTACTAAAAAAGGTAAGAAATATACTTGTGAAATTCTTAAATGAAGACTTAGTATATGAAATTAGAGATAGTTAATTAACATTGCTGTATCTAAAGGTCAACCGGTTTGAGGTCACAGATTGCTCGTGAGCAGATCGAGGCATTTTATAGCTAGACGTGGAAAATGGCGCACATGATAAGATCCAAGTTCGTATTCTTGTCATTAAAATATGCTAATCGTGCTGCGCCTCGTATTTCTGTGCCCTTAAAATATCAACGATTATGTTTTCACACCAGCTGGATTCTCGATGGTATGACATTCATTCAGAAACAATGACTTTTTCATGCAATGTCACTTGATTGAAGGTTATCTCAAAGAATTTAAATTATCATTGAAAGGATTAAATAAAATCATGAGAGAAATGGAACTATTTTATTTTTGATGTGAACATTTAACGATAATGTTGAAAATTAATTTGATAGTTCTCAATAAAATAAATTTTTTACAACATTTGATACATAAGTTTCCAGGTTTGATTGATTATGCAACCAGGTTTTTACTGTCAAGAAAATCTGTTTTTTTTTTGTAATGACATATTAATACAAAGAGATATTTTATTTCAGTGAAAGGAAAAGAATTATTAATGCCTTCTTTATCGCCTACTATGGAAAATGGTACGATAGTGAAGTGGTTAAAGAATGAAGGCGACAAGATTGAACCTGGTGATGCTATCGCAGACATTCAGACTGACAAGGCTATCGTTACAATGGAATTTGATGACGAAGGTGTATTAGCAAAAATAATTGTAAGCCGAGTAGACAAGTATAATGACAAATCAATCATGTTAGAGACAAATACACAATCACAAATTATACAAGATATCTTAATTGGTTATAGATACCTGAAGGAACAAAAGATATTAAAGTAGGAACTCTGATAGCTCTTACTGTCGAAGCTGATGAAGATTGGAAAACAGTCGAACTTCCAGATCAGACAGCAAAGGCTCCCGCAGCAACGCCAGCTGTTACTCAAGCAGCACCTGTCGCAGCAGCTGAAGCTCCACCGCCTGGCCAGTATGATCTTTTAAAATACATTTTAAATATATTCATTAATCTGCTTTAAAATAATACCAAAATGTGTATATTTTCACATGCTTAAAGATTTGTAATTATATCATCAAATTGCTGCTAATTCTTTTATAATTCTCAGGCAAAATGTTTTCATGCCTGCCCTATCGCCAACCATGACAACAGGCACAATTGTAAAATGGTTGAAGAAAGAAGGTGATGAAATACAACCAGGTGACGCATTAGCTGATATACAAACAGACAAAGCTATTATGACTTTTGAATTAGAAGAGGAAGGCATACTTGCCAAAATTCTGGTTTGCATTTGCCTATTAATTACCTAAATTTTGCATGGAATATTTCTAAATTCTTCATTATAATACGTTTATTATTCTCTATTAGGTTCAAGAGGGATCTCAGGTAGAAATAGGTCAGTTGATTGCGATTACGGTTGAGAAAGGGATGGACTGGAAACAAATTGTTGTTCCAACGTCAACCAAACCATCAGCTGCGCCTGCAGCACCAAGTCCTGCTCAACCAACTGATGCAAAACCACCGCCAAGTGAACAGTATGTATCTTATAGTTCATCTTTAAATGTAGCATAAAATGTTTTATTAATATATGCTATGTATTTTACTAAAACTACACATATAATATATCTTCCATTAGAGTATATGGTTTAGCAGTAAAAAGATTGCTGGAAGAATATGGTCTAAGTTCCGGGTCGATCAAGGGCACCGGCCGTACAAATCGTTTACTGAAAGGCGACGTTCTCGCGTATATTCAGACGCACAACATCCAAAAGGTTGCGCCTAAATCCAGTAAGTATAATAGTATGTCGGATATTATCTCTCTCTAGAATAACTATGTGTTTGCGTGTGTTTGCTTTATGAATATTGTTTTGCAGCACCGGCTCCAAGCACTGATAAGGCACGTCCTTCTAGTCCAGCAGAGAGGCCTGTTTCTGGCAAGCCATCTCCGTATGAAGATATCGAAATATCCAATATTCGCGCCGTTATCGCTAAGCGACTTGGAGAGTCAAAGGTTTGGCATCGTGAATATTTATAATAAGAATCATCTTTTACTTGATTTAATCGTAACAACTTTTTCTTTGCAGAGCACTATACCGCATTCTTATGCGGTTATAGATATACATATCGACAAATTGGTCGAGCTTCGTAGTAAACTAAAAACAGAGAATATAAATGTATCGCTTAATGACTTTATTATTAAGGCTGTCGCTCATGCGCTTCTCGAGTGTCCTGATGTAAATACGTTATATCAAAAGGAACAAGTTAGTATGATCAGTCTGTTTAATCGCATAAAAATATATTCAATCATAATATAAATGACTGACTTTTATTAGATTGTTCGAGTTCCAAAAGTAGATGTATCTGTAGCAGTCGCAACACCAACAGGCCTTATTACACCAATAGTATTTGACACTGCCACTAAAAGCTTAACAGATATTTCTAAAAACGTTCGAGAGTTAGCCGAGAAGGCGAAAAAAGGACAGCTCAAACCACATGAATTTCAAGGAGGAACATTCACGTAAATTCAAACAAAAAACAAAATTACAAAAAAAGCATATACATAACAATGACACATGCGCGATTTTTCTTATTGCAGAATTTCGAATCTGGGAATGTTTGGCATCAAGGAATTTTCCGCCATAATAAATCCTCCACAAACTGCTATTCTTGCTATAGGCGCAGGACGTGAAGAATTAGGTAATTCATTACAAACGATATTTCGTAAAGAATACGGGAAATATATTCTAAGAATGCAACACTAATTGATAATATTTTTAAAAACCTATTGCAGACCTTTCGTTAACGAAAGTAACAAAAATGTCAGTGAAACTATCGTACGATAGGCGGGCGATCGACGAGGATCAAGCAGCTGACTTTTTGGCTGTTTTAAAAGCTACGTTAGAAGATCCAGCTTTTCTAGCAGCTGGCAAAATGCAGGCATTAAGGTATCAACGTGATGCATATTAATCTTTTTTAATAAAATAACATCCCATTGAAATCATTTATTGCAAAAACAACTCTATTGCTTGTTCTCACTCTAACTATAAAAATTAGAAAAATAGAATGTTAGAAATTAAAAAATTAAATATTTGATGTAGCAATTATTATTTTACACTGCTGTGCTTTTTAAAAAATATAGTTTAAGAAAAAAGAAAGTTCAATGTCAATTAACTCATACGATCGCAATAATATAATTATTGACTGTTTTTGCAATAAAGAGATTGATCAGTGTCAGTCCTATTTTTCGTGCCACACATATTACCAGATATCAAAAGCACAAGCCATATGAAAAGCTATTACAAACAACGCTGTTCATTATTAAACTTTGTTATCCAACTTAGACCAAAGGGAATACATAATTTATATATTTATACTGCCAACAAAATTTTTAGCCAACCAATGTCATGGACATATTCTCACATGTACATTAACGTAATGTTAATTAATTAGTAACATACAAGTTGAGTTAAATTAGATTTTAAAGATTAATCTGTGATTTTTAAAGCATTCTTTATTTCAATTGTCAAATTTTGTTTAAGAGATTAGTATCGTTGAAAAGTTTGAAAGGCAGAAAATAAGAATCTATTATTCTGTATTTAGATTCTTGTAAATAATTAGGGCGCTTAAATTTATCTATATAAGCTCTTGTAAATATCTAAACAAATGATTGACTCTGATATAATATATAAATGTATCATATAAATACTGTATAACACTTTCTCTTTCTCAATCGGTTATAAAATATAATATATATACCTATATTGCTATAAATATTTAAAAGTATAAATTATTTTAAAATTTAAAAATTGCTTAATTTTTTGTCAAAAAAATATATGGTCCTTCAACTTAATTTATTAATTTGAGATATTTATAGCTGAACGACTCACTTGTATATAATCTAATTTACAATCCAAGTTGTAATATTTTAATAGGATTATGTGATCCTGTTAAATGTTCGGGATGATGTAATCATGAGCGAAAGTCATGAATTCATCTTGTAAATAAAATATTTATTAACTATAATACATGTTGTTTTATCGACGATGCTGATAAATGTTAAAAATCTTTCTCTTCCCTAATACATAAGAAATTATATATATATGTATATATATATATATATATATATATATATATATATATATATATATATATATATATATATTACATTTTTTTATGCGACCAACGATACTTTCTTGAGGACATATTATAGTATCTGACAATATTTTTGAAAGAACTTAAAATCAATATTATGTACAAATATTTCAATTGTTCACTATAATTTTAACTTCGTTATTTATCGTCTTTAATAACAATACTTTGTACTTAGTTTATTAGATAAAAATATATGCGTTCGTTGGATAAGGCACAGATGTTGAAATATGTACTCCATATCTCTTGCAATTTATTTTGATTTTTTAATGCTCTTGAAATCGTTGAATATGTCTTACAAAATACAATAAAATATACAAGTGATAAAATATTCATCATTCAAAATCGTGCAAACAATACTGTTTAGATATTAACATTCTATATGATTTAAGAATAGTGCTTGCCCTGCTTATAACAATCAGCAGTACTTTGAACTATTGCCATAATTAAATATTTTCGGTATGATAATTTAATGATCGTATATATGATATTTAAAAGAGCATATAAACATTACATGGAAATAATAGCATAATTTAACTTTCCCTTATCACAGACGTGATTTTATACATACTTGACGTTAGCTCTCAAATCATCTTAAATATCTAATTATTCGTTCTTCAATAATCTAATCATATTACATGTTTGCACATTGCATTGTAAACGCAGTTATTCGACATCACTTTTTATATACATATCGGTTACAAAATAACTATATGAATACGGTATTTGGTTGAGCAATATTGCGCTCTTAGATACAAAAGTTTTCTAAAAAGAGTATATTATAAAAGTAGGGGTAAAGTCTTATAACACTATGCACTTCAATAATTTGATAAAAATGCATTGAACGATGCTTGCTATGTAACATAATTCATAATACTTTATTTTCAAAATGCATTGTCCCACAAGATCGAATAATACCGTCTAATTTCAAGCACAGTGGAGAATTTTTAGATGATTTTTATATGATTCTTTTTATATTTTTATGATGTTATGATTTTTCAATATATATATATATACTAGTCTCACTTTGATTTTTTTGCCAATTTGAAATTGAATGCAATTTTATTCATTGACATCAATGGCTATATGATTGATTTTATTATTTTTACTATATCTTGGTGTTTAGTGATGTATAAGTACAATTTTTAAGAAAATATGAAATTCTGTGTTACATCTTTTATGGCCAGTACTATAAAAATACTATATTTTAAATATACATTTCACTCCTCAAAAGAGATGTAAAAATTCCATTCTATCCACAATTATTTACAGCTGGAACATTCTGATAGATTAAATGGCAAAACGCACATTAGTATTATGTCATGCAGCATAAACTCAAGTTTATGTAAAACCCTGAATTATAAATCATATTGCAGCTGACAAAATAGATGACAGAATAAATTCAGAAATCAAAATAGATTTAAATGTTTACAAATTTTCAACAAAAATTATGATGTAATTATGTAGTACAAATAAAAGATGACTATGATCTTTTTAAATGTGTTAATATCCTTTGAATAAAATAATCTTGAAACTACCAGTGCTTTAGTTTTATGCACATTATTAAACCAGCGCAGTAGATTAAAAACAATGGGCAGTTAAAAAAATTTGAAATGTCAGAATCAAATAAAATAATAATTACAAAATACCTTTTTCATAATTTCTCGATTAGGAAAATATTTTCTTCTAGTTTTCATTATTACATATAAGCAGAGCAATGTGTGTGTGCAAAGCATCATGAATCAACATATTATCAATGTGGTGGAAATGCTTTGAAAATATTTAATACGCTTTGTGAAGAATTTTCTGCGCTGCGCGAATCAATGGAGTGAGCGTAGATAATTCTGCGCAGTTTTCTAGGAATGGATGAGAGAGTAATTCATCAGCTGTTGCTCTGTCATCGACTTCTACAGCGAGGCATCTTTCTAGAAAGTTTTGAAACATGGGATTGAGGCTCTCCCATCTCGGAATGGAAGGTTTACCAATGGCAGCGATTAAATACAACGCTCTCAACGGCGTCTCTTTCATGTAAGGTGGTTCTCCTTCTATCATTTCGATAGCCATTATGCCTAACGACCAGATGTCCACTTTCTTGCCATACTGCTTTCTCGTCACCACCTCCGGTGCCATCCAGTATGGAGTGCCGACCATAGTCTGTCGCTTCTCGTCACCGTCGATATTAGCACAAAAACCAAAGTCTGTAACTTTCACCGTACCGTTCATCCCCAACAGCACATTGTCCGATTTAATGTCTCTGTGAATAATGCCTCTAGTGTGCAGAAAACTTATTGCTTTGAGGACCTCTCTGCAGACGGCTGCAATTTGAACTTCCTTCATCACAGTCTCGGTGACCACGTCTGTGAGCGGCCCACCTTCCAGCAGTTCCATGACCACCCAAAGATGTTCATCCACGAGGTAAGCGTCGAGAAAGTTGACCAGATTCGGATGCTGAAACTCTTTGAGAACCTTGATTTCAGTTAATATCAGCTCCTTCTTTGGTTGCTTCGACAAATCTATGTCCTTTATGGCTACTTTCTGACTGTACTGAAGGTCGGCGGCTATGAACACAGTACCTGAAGCACCAGCGCCCACCTCTTTAGTTCTCTCGAAGCGTAAATTAGGATCTCCGCATTGGCAGATAGCTCTGAGTTCCTCGTATACTTGTTCTTCGTTGAGTCTCGCACCGGTACACTCAGTTTTCCGCCGCAGTATGGGACTTTCCTCGACTCTGGTCGTTGTAACGGCCTCCTCTTCCTCTGCTTCCGGTGACAAATCGTCATCTATCTCGAATGTATTCAGATCTTCCAGTATTTCAGTGAGGGTCTTCTCCGCTCTGTCGTTACATCTGCGGGGCGCTGGTTTAGGCAGTGGTTTAGGCGGTTTGTTTACCTTCGGTGGAAGTTCGGGCAATCTGTTCTTCTTCAATTCATCAAATGCCAAATTCTCGGAGATCAAGCTGTCATAGTCGGAGCCATCCGACTGATATTTCTTTTTCAAGATATTGTCAATCTCCTGCGATTCCTCCTCGATGAGATCCTGCGTGATGAACGGCTTGAAAACCTCCTGGTCCTGCGGTCTGCGCTTGATCGAATAGTTGTAAAACTTGATAGCCTGCAGCGCGGCGTCCGGATGCTCGTCCTGCTCCGATTTCGAGATCTGCGTGTTGAGCTGACGTATCCATGAATCTGGCAGGCCCTCCAGTTGACCAGTCTCCGCATTCTTGCTCACGTGGAACTGATGAGAGACATTGGTCGGCAGTCCGATCTCCGCGGCCACGGTGTTGTCGACCACAGGACTGCTCCTCTTCTTCGAGAACAACCTTGTCAGACTAAGACTCATTCTCGCGCGCAGCACCGCGCCTCTGTCGCGTTCCGTCTTTCCTTTGTCGCTTCTTTCGCGACCGTATGTGTTTCGTGAGGGTAAAAAAAAACAAAGAGAATACAGACGGATCAAATTACAATACTCATACTAATGTGACGCGGATTATCGTCCGCCACAATCATGTCGCGAAATCACACGATTTCACGCCCGATTACACGCCGGCAGATGGATGTGGTCATCAATGCTGCCAATCCGATGAGATGTATGACACTAATTGTAAACTAGAAATCGATGGTACTATAACAGAATCGATTGCTCGCATATCGATGCGCATATCGATACACATACGCATTCGAGAAGTTGAATATTCTTCATGCCCCGTCTACACGCTGTCTTTAATAGCGTTTTCGATTATACAGGATTTGAACGACCCAAGATTGGTTAATGACGTCATTGCAACCTCTCCACCAATGAAAGACTTGCATTTATAGTAAAATAGTGATTGATCAACCCTAGATCGTTCAAACCCCGTTTATTCGAAAACGCTATTGGCCGGAGCACAGACTTTTGCATAAAGCATAACGCATAAGCATAAGGAAATTGATTGGTCCATTTCCTTATGCATTTGCTTATGCTTATATATAGACCAATCAA